GGAGACACGAGACTGGTTGGGCACCGTTGAGCCCCGCAACGTTCGGGCCGTCATGAAGCGCGTGGTTGAGGACATCACCGCCATCGATGTCCAGGTTGGGGCAACACCAGGAACCCAGAGGGGCCGGGAGGGAGGGGGCCCAGATGTCCCAGAGGGACCCTGGAGCGGCCATGAGGTCCCCATAAGATCCTTGAGGACTTCATGGAGGGCTTCTGCAGGGGTCCCTGAAGTCCCCTGGCGCTTCCCAGCTGTCTCGAAGGGTTCCTGGGAGAGTTGGGAGTCCCAGAGGGTCCTGGGGTGTGAGGGGGCTGAAGGGTCAAGAGGGGATGCCCAAGGTCCCCATATGGTCCTTGAGGATCTTTGGGGGTGCCAGAAGGGTTTGGAAGGGTCACAGAGGATTTGAAGGATCCTGAGTGGTTTTGGGGAGAGATCCAAGAGGATATTTTGAGTGGATTCTGGGATACCAGCACTGAGAGGGTTTGGTGCCGCAGGTGGGGCAGCTCTTCGAGGAGGGCGTGCGGCGGGCACAGAGCAGCGTGCCTTCTCCGTCTACAGCAGCTCACGGGCACCCGGGCGCTACGCCCCCAGCTACACCCCCAGGTCAGCCCTGTCACCCAGGCCACCTCTTGGCCACCCCCTGGGCCTTCCCTGGTCACCCCCAGGGCCGCCCTGTCACCCCTGCAGTAACTGCCAGATCTTCCCCGTGATCCTCTTCATGTCCCCAAACTGTCACGCTCTCCCCTGAGGATCCCCGTGTGCCTTGCATCCCACGATTGTCTTGTCTCTCTGTGACCATTCCCACGTTCCCTGCTTGTCCTCACATCCACCACCCATCCTCGTGTTCCCCTGTCTTTGTGTCCCCAAACAGCCCCGACATCTCCTGACCATCCCCACATCCTCTGGCCATCTCTGTGTCCCTGTGTCTCCTGGCAGTCCCTGTGTCCCTGTCCCTACATCCCTGGGCTTTCTCAAATACTTGCCTGTCCCCGTGTCCCTGACTGTCCTGGTATCACCATCCCCAGTGCCCCCATGGACACCCACCTGCTCAGCAACATCCAGAAGCTCTTCTCCGAACGCATTGACATCTTCAGCCCTGTCGAGTTCAACAAGGTGAGGCCGCGGGGACATCCCTCTGTCCCCCAGGGCCCCCCCGGTCCCTGTGTCACCACAGTCCCTAAGCTGCCCACCTTCTTGGCTCTTGCATGTCCTGGGTGTCCCCAGGATGCAGGTGTTGGAGCTCAGGGGCTCCCCATGAGCTGACCAGGACAAGGGTGTTTGCACTGTCCCCTGATGCTCCCCTGTCCTATGTGTCAGGACTTGGGGGGTCCCTGCGGCTGACGAGCAGGGCGAGGGTGTTCTTGTGTCCCTGTGCTGACCTGGCTCAGGGCCTTCCTGTGCTCCCAGCAGCCAGGCCAAGGGTATCCCCATCCCCGTGTGCCATGTGTCCAGGCTTGGGAGTGGTAGCCAGGACAAGGGTGTCCCTCGTGTCACCCATGTGCCCATGCTGATGGGACTTGGGGCCTCCCTGCACTTGAAGAATCCAGGCCAAAGGAGCCCCCGTTCCCCTGTGCCACATGTCCCCAGTGTCCCCACATCCCGTGTGTCAGGACTCGGGGGATCCCTGGGGACTGGTGACCAGGATGAGAGTATCGTAAGAGCTGATGGCCTGGAGGGGGATGTCCCCAGTGTCCCCGCATCCCTGTGCCACATGTCCCTGCTGTCCCCACATCCCAGGTGTCAGTGCTGACTGGGATCATCAAGATCAGCCTAAAGACGCTGCTGGAGTGCGTGCGGCTGCGGACATTGGGGCGCTTCGGGCTGCAGCAGGTGCAGGTGGACGGCCATTACCTGCAGCTCTACCTCTGGCGCTTCGCCGCCCACGAGCGGGGGGTTTTTTTATGTGCCGACCGTCGCTGCCCACCGCTGCCTCGACCCCGTCCCCATGGAGCACAGTGTCGTCGAGCTCATCTGTGAGCGCGGGTAGGACGTGGGGACACACGGGGACTTGGGTTGATGTACAGGGCATGGCATCGCATAGTGTGAGGACATAGGGATGTGGGACATCTGTGTCACCATGGGGCACAGCCGAGTGGGGACACCTCTGGGAGGGGGACGTGTCTTAGGTCCTGTTAC